AACTACATCAAGAACAAAATAAGACGCCGGTTTCCGCATAAGACGAGTCACTCAAAACTCGATGCATTTGCATCGGCATCATAACAACCAGCAAACACACCACCTTGAATAACGGATATCACATAATGACACTTACAGGTATATATAATAGTTAACAAACTAGTGTCCATCACATGAACAGAAGTTCGAAAAAAAAGCCCAGCTACAGCAATGCTAGTTATCCTGTCAAGAAATAAGAGTAAGTCAATGGAAAAGAAAAATTATGAAAAGAGGTAGAAGGGAAAAATTGTTTGATATGAACTTAAAAGGATCTACAGTGTTAATGAAATTAGTCGCAAAAAAAAGTGAAGTCGAATCGTCTTGTCCACCCTGTGATGGAGCAAACTTACTAATCTTTGACTATCTCTACAACAGATTTCAAGAAAATTGTCACTTGATAGTGAACGTTAGACCATGAAAATCCCAAGCCAGAAAAAGGAAAAGAATAACTCATAAGGGGGCGATTCCTAGATATCGCGCCACAAATACTCTGAGTATGGATGTCATATGATAGATTGTCGGATAATGCAGCGCCTTCTCGTTGTCTGCTGCAGTATGCCACACGTGTGGGAATGGAACTGGGATCAAATGGAGAATGGGCACTCCTGAAATAATAAATATAACTTAAGGTCTCAATCACTCCTCACTGCTTGACCACTTTTGTATTTGTAATGGCTATTGACATGTGCGCTTCCGGGAGCGCAAAATCAATAGCCACTCCAGTATCCGCGCTAACATGGATGGAGCATCAAAAGAGTCTAAGACAACTAAGGTTAGATGAACATAGTAATGTTAAGTGTTTCGCTATTATAACATATCGAAAATACTCCCAGATCAACCGCAATCACCAGTCAAAATACATTGTTGCATGAAAGGCTTACCCCGCTTCATGAATGGAATATGGTCATCTTCCACAGCATGGGGCGACAAACTTCCATAGAATACATTACGAGGTACATTGGCACAACCAACTTGGCGTAATTCCGCTTCTAAAATTAGCTAGAATAATTCACTTTGTACTTTACTATTAACTCACTCTCCAAAGCTCTTAAAATTGTAAATGAAGAAAGCTTCGACGACTTTTATACTCCTCAAACAAATTGCATCGTTTTTACTCTGCTAAACATTAAAGGAATCCGCCCCGGACATACCTATGATTCTAACTCACCCATAAATCGCTAACTCGAGGCACTTTCACGATAAAAACGATAAAATCAAAAGAAAAATTGCGTGTGTTTTGGAAAGCAATTGAAAAAAGGACTGTCACTCGTTCAAATTTCTGTCGTACATCTGTCACAAATGCTGTACGGGAACACTTCCACTTGCTTCACGGTGTGCCAACATTTGACCTTGTGGCTTATGCCTTACATTTCCCACTTCAGCAACATCCTACTCTATCGACTGTTCTGTCTGTATTATCAAAAATCGAAACTTTGACTTGATTCGTCCAATACGCCGCTTGAAGCGTGGCCGCTCGAAGACGCACTTCTTCCCATGCGTCTCGGTGAGGACCTACCCTCAACCATCCAAAAAGTGTGGTTTTCGTTCGTATGTTCTCATCAAAACTATAATACACATATTCGTGGGTGGAAACTTTGTATGTTGTCTCTTGTGATCATCACAATTAGACCTATTCGTGCTGGGGAAGAACGTCGTATAATTCGACGAGGATTCCTTCAAAGGCGCGAGTTCACGAAGGAAAGGCAGACTCAGCTCATTAGAAATCAAGGTAGGATATGTGGTATGCAGTTGTGCAGAGATGAAGGCAAAACCATGAGCAACGACCCAGAACCTGAGAAATGGCACCTCTTCCTTTGCCATTGAATTTCCGCATTGTGCGATTCTCATTGGTGCATGCTTCAACGCTAGGCTTCTAGATATATTAGGTGTTTCAGAAAGTTCTGTCGTTTTCCAGCCCCTAATTTTAAATGCACGTATCTCGGCTTGGGCTAAACCTTTCGAGTTGATTAAAAAACCATTTGAAAGCGCGAATCTTGTTCTATAAGAAACCGTTCAACAGGGTACGTTTATTTGGAATGCTGGACCTCTGGAGGCGATGAACTGAGGGAAGGTCGTTTTAGCATCATGTTGGTTTTTGATGTATTTCTCTTCAAGGAAGCTATCGAGATCGTCAGAAGTTTGACAGTAGATAGTTCAAGGGTCTACTAAGTAAGATGTTCGCAGAACCACTCTGAAGTTCAGCTGGTACAACTTGTGAAGGGTTGGCCGTGCGATGTGCGTTCAAGACACCTTTCAGGGATGTGTGTGTTCCTTTATAATGAGGAATGCTGGACCCATGTCCTAGAGTTTTTGATGATTTTTGAATTAGTATAAAGATTGATTCTCCACTGTAACAGTTCCATCTGATACTGAAGAACATGGCCAGCCGCTGGCCCCATGAAAGCTGCCACAACCCTCCTCCAGCACAGTTTAAATTCTGCAAAGTTTGTAGAGCTTCATCGCCGTCGATCTATTCAGCAAACTTTCGTAGACTATAGAGAAGAATCCGCTCTTTATTGTACGTCGCAAATCTGTAGAGAAACGAGTCGCTTTCACCACATAAAACCAGCGACAAATTTGATGGACGATGCTTCAAATTGGTGATTTGTCGCGGCACGCCACTATCGAATTTTTTAGACTTTCCAGCTTCTTCCGTATAGCTTGGCTGTACAAACCATATACGCCCAGGTTGGGCAGAACCTCCTCTATGGTCTTACGCACGAGTGCTTCAATCAGAACTTTTGGCTAATCGGAGACACCGTCCGATATCCGACCACTACTCTCATCATATTCAAGGCTCTCGCCTTCCTTACAATAAATTTTTTAACTACTGCTTCTGAGCACATTTATTGCAAATCTAGGCCCAAAGCATCGTTGATATCTTGAACTGATCCCGCCACTTTCAGGTCTATTTAAAGCTAGAAAAAGAAAGTCATGCCAGCTTGCTCTCGAGTATACTGAATTCAAAGCTTTGAAAAAGCTATAAGAAAATATTTTAGGATAAAGTTGTGCTGAGCATTGGATAGAGCTGGAAAAGTTCTTCAAAATGACATCAACATCAATTGCAGCTTTCCTAGATTTCAAGGGAAATAAAGCATCCAAAAGTGGAATGTCAGAAAACGACAGAACTTTCTGAAACACCTAATACTTTCCCTTCTTCACTCCAAGCTTATCGTGGATTCCTCCTATGAGTGGAAACTGTTGAGGTAAAACAGGTATCGGCGTGAATAATGTAGCCGGGCATGTTAAGAATTAACCATGATATTTGTTGTAAATGCAATTCCTTCTCCAGAACTTTCACACCAAACAAAACCTCTCGCCCAACACCTGTACATGTCAAAGGTTGCACCACGTGTTTCACATCGCACACTCGCTCCTCCATAACGCCTACTCAGCTTAGCTATGCACGCTATCGCTAAGGGTGCAAGCAACATATGCCCCGGCAATCTGGCATGGTCTTTCCGTTGGCGCAATTACCCTGGGGAACGCCCACGATTTATCTAATTTCTCCCGAGTCTATGCGCGGAAAGCGATCAGAAAGCAGAAAGACCTCAGCGTTGAAGAGGGCACAAAGATGAGAGTCGCGTCAAGGCGGAAATCAACGGGCGAGGGAGGGGTCCCATAACTCGGGTTTCCGGGCCATTTCACATTTTCACGTTCCTCTTCATCCCTGCTACACTGACCACCTCTACCCTTATTTCCAATAAGCTACTTTTCATCGTAACTTTTTTATCGTAAACTTCTTCATCCACCTTTAGGTGGGCAACGTTTCCTACAGATCTCATAATTCGGTTTCGAGAAGTCTCGGTGACCGGGAAAAAGTGGATAGAGGATAGAGAAGGGAAGGACAAACGGTTACTGGTGGGTCTGGCGTGTGCCGAAGAGCGGAGCTTCCCAACAAACTTATAATTCGGTGCGCAGCAGCAACGAAGACGGGGTTGAAAAAAAAAAGGGAGAAGTTCATTGCTGAGCGGGGCATGAGACGAAAAGGGTGGGCTAAATCCAAAAATGCCACATGCGGTCCTGAAAAGACGGAAATCGAGAAGTAGCAGATAAAATCAAGTCCACAGAGACGATTCAAACATATATTATAAAAAGAACAACTCCTGTGGGCAACTGCGGAGGCCGTACGTACACTAGAACCGACGGGAGCAGAATGCGTTCCGTATCACAAGGAGAAGGAAAGCACTCCACACCCTCTGCTTTCAACTTGTTTTTTGAGCCAATAAATTTTTACCAATTTTGGGCAAATAGTCGAAACAGTTCTGTTGCTCCTAGTCCCACATGTATTCTTGAGTGTTATAAGTTAGGATTTGCAGTTCAAGGAGACTCGAGTAGCATTAACACATCTGAACATACTTTACTAGACACTTGACACGATGGCAAAGCTAGGCAAGCTAACACATTGGCTCTCTGGTACCGGTATATACAAAAAGCATTTAATTTAACAGAGCACAGAACACGGAGAGCCGAAGAGACAGAATGTATGGTTTGCGAAAAAAAAAACTGAAGCCACTCACTATCCTATCGATTTCTCGACTCAGTTCAAAGTTTGTGCCAGTTGTAGTGGGATACCATTTGGTTTCCCACTTCTTGGCAAGATGACGAGATCCGTAGAGAGAATCAGTTTCGGTCCAGTCTACAAACGCTTCTTCACCATCGAAGAAGATTAGTTGTAGCGCTATATCCTGAAAAAAGGATGGTACAGCCCGCACTGCGAAGCGCTCGCCTCTCTCTTCTGATGAAGAAAAACTGGCTTCAAAACTCAACTCTCAAAAAAAAAACTATTCCTAGACCCCGAAATTCCCAATACCTACTAACCAAATGACAGGTAAAAGGGAGCTGGGAGATCGTGTCTACAGATGATAGATACATCGCTTCATCAGTGGCAGTAATTAAGTAACATTGATCAAGGCGTTTGCGACCGACACGGATCTTGCGCTTCAGTATCACAGTTCTGGACGCTCCGCTATTTGAGCCCGGAGTATGTTACGCCCGACCTTGCCACCTGTTACAGGAGGAGAATCTCTTCTCCGAGAAAGCTTGGCGTTAATGAAGTTCCTCGGAGAGCGTCCTCGATCTTGCAATAACGGCTCTGCAATAGCGGCTGCGCGCCAAAAGGCAATGCTGCTCAAAGTTACGTCTCGGCAATAGCGGCTGCACCCAAGGCAACTTCGCTCGAAGCAGGAGGAATCATTCCAAGGGAAATAAAAAAAAGAAGAAAAATAAAAAATAAAAAAAGGGAATCGTGATTCCATCTCACCCATAATTCATTGGCTTGCCATCGTTCACGATAAGAACGAAAAGAACAGAAAAATTGCACACTTTGGAAAAAAAAAGTCGAGAAACCGAAAGGGCTGCTCGAATTCCCGCCGGACATCTGTCACAAATGCTGACGACGGGAATGATTCCACTTGTCCGTTGCACGGAGTGCCGCTTCACTTGATTAACATCTAACCACTTCATAGGTGACACCCTATCCTGTCGATCGATTTGTCTCTACTCTCCAAAATCGCACGCTTTAGCTCGATTCTTTCATTGTATCGCCTGATACGTACCCGCCCCAACAAACTGGTCTTACGTGCCACTTTACCTTTGGGTTATCCACTAGGAGTGTGGTTTTTGAAAGTTTCTTTCTCTTCAGAAATAAGATCTTTGTGCGCGAAACTTTGTATGTTGTCTCTAGTGTTTCAAATGACATATGAAAGTTGGAAAAGAATGCAAGATTTCTCTGGGAACCATTCATCTAAAACACGGGTCACGATTAGGTTCCTAAAGAAATTCTCCCACTCAATGGAATAGCATGACCCTTAACAACAGGGGAAAGTCGTCTGGGGATGCAACTTAAAGGCAAAGGTCGGGCTCAGGCACGCTAGAGAAGTAATTCCCGTGCCTGGAGGTTGTATGTGGGTAGCTGCACACATTGCAGCAACTTCCCACCTTGAAAAACCCCGTTAAGGCCCCGGGGCGTTCGGTTTCAATCCAGGGCCGCCTGGTCAATCCAGGACCGCCCACCTCCGGAAGTGGTGCGTGGCTGGCATAACGTGTGAAATCAGCTAGGTTGATTGCCGTATCAACCGATGACATCTCCAGAAAACTTGTTTGTACGTGCCTCTTTCCCCAAGCCAGCCTCCTTCACTGCTAGTGGGAAAGAGGGTTTTGTTAACGGCCTTGTCGACGGTTTTTCTCAGTTTTTTCTCCACTGTCGTTCCACTTCGCATCTCTATACTCAGTTTCAATCGCCATAATACCCCCTTATTGAGCCCGACTTTTTGCCTTTAAAGCAAAAGCGCGCTACAAAGGAGCAATAGCCTCATTTGATCGATGTCGTGTGTCTGGGAGATCCATTGACTATGCAAGAAATTAGGGATAGGGCCTGGGTTGAATGTGCGGGATGATAGGATAATTAACACCCCATTCCTCTCACAAAAGAACGTACACTTTCCAATTTAGCCGATTTTTATCAGCGCTCCTCTCCTTGGCATTAACAACGCTTTTTTCCAGAATTTTTCGATTATTGTTGGAAACGCAAAGAATAATCGAGTGGTTGCTCCTTCCACCCAACTCCTAAAAAAATTCACACACCTGTGCGACTCGTTTATACATATAAGGTGGAGAGCGATTTTATGCAATATCCACTCAATAGCACATGAAACAGCCGAAGTCTCGAAGCCGCCACATCAATCTACCCGCGATTAATTTGGCTTTTTTAGATTTTAAAGGAATCTTCCGCGGAAAAAGCTCCGCCTCCATTACCACAGAAAAACGATACCCCTTAGGCCCCTAGCCTCATGAGCATAGCAAAAAGAACGGAACATAAGCGTTAGTTTCGATAATACTAATCCTACACACAAGACAAAATGATCACTCTTTCCGTGGAAGATTCCTTTAAGGTATCGTTTTCTGTGGTAATGAGGGCGGAGCTTTTTCCGTGGAAGGATTCCTTTAAACTCAAAAT